CCAATCTTTCAATTCAACCGTTTAATCTTCAAATTACTCCATAAAACCTCTTAGTTTGGTGATATTAAGGTTGGTTGTGAAGTTGTTTAGAAGGGTAAGGTGGTTAGTTGCTTCCTTTCTTGCATTTTAAGGTGAGTATCTAAGGAACTCCTCTTTTGTTCTTGATGATGTTTAATTAATGGCTTGTGGTAGCCTAAGAGGTGTTTTTGTGGGTTATTTCATGATGTTAGTGAGATTGATGACATTTTTCTATTTATTCATGATTTTTCTGTTTTAAGATGATTACTATTGTGTGCCCATGTATGATGGTTGGAAATGATCTAGAATGAAGTTAGAGGGTGTAAGTTGTGGTTAATTGCGGAAAATTTCCACATTGAAAGGAAATTCTGGAAATTAGGGTTTCAATTCAACCATTCTGCCCGGTACTGTTCCTCATAGGTAGAGGCTGAATTAGCCTTGGATTAAAACATAAAAGTTGTAGGGAATGATATTTTATAGATGCCTACAAAATTTCAGGCCAATCGGAGCAATGTAACTTGTGAAAAGACTGAAATACCCCTGCTGCCCTGTTTCTACCCGAACATGCTAATCAGCTTCTGTAATTAGTTGTTTTGACTAGGAATACTACTGATTTGGTTGTCGATGTCTTCTTAAGAAATATAGCCTGGTATCTTAGCTTTCGGATGGCTTTAGAATCACTTGAATTGGACTTTGGTAGCCTGAATTATGGTTGTTTAACCAGAATGCAATTTGCTAACATGTTTATGCGGTTCCGATTTGGTACATTGCAATTTTGACTTAGTTGCACTACAAACTGGACTGAGTGGCCTTCTTCAATATTGTAGCCCTTTCTGTTAGCTTCGAAACGGTGTATATTGTACCTCCATCCTATAATTGTAGTGCCAGTTGTGTCCAATACGCTAAACAACATCAAAACTATTTTTGGGTTTTAGGGATTAACTTTCATTTCCAGTCATTTTCCTAGCTAAATTTTGTACTTGAATGACTTTGATCCTATTGAACGGCCGTTGTGATGAATTTATATTACGTATGACTTTGGGGTTGATTGAGGAAAATAATGAAGCCATAAGTGGTTGGGAAAATAGGTAAATACAGAGGGCATGCTGCCCAAAATTTTAGCGCTATGCGATTCTTTCAAGTTGAGTTGATCTTGGTAAAAATGATGGGTTTTAGGAGTTGTTTGTAACCCTAGGACCAACTGTTATTCTTTTTGCTCAAAAGTCATATTTTATTCCTTTGTACTAGTACTTGTACTAGTACTTAACATGGAAAGGCGTACGACATGTAGTCGAGCCTCACTTGTGCATTCCGTTTACTCGATTTTGGATATGAAACCTTCAATTGGTTTACTTTGATGATTTTAGGGTTTCTTGACGATTAAAGCCAATCTGAAGTGAAAACTTTTGAAGTATCTGTACTTGAACCGGTGAGTGTACCACTCCCCTCACTTGTTGCTTAACTTGATTTCTGCACTTGCAATCTGTGATCTGAATGATTGTACTATCTATTTAATCTGTTTGAGACGAGGGTGTACTTTATCACACTCGTTCTCTTGTCTGTCTGTATGCCTCTTGACTACATGTAATCTGTTATCTGTATCTGAATCTGTTATCTGTATCTGAGTCTGTTCGGACGTCGTTTGGAGACTGGTATCCAACGACCTTTCTGTGACCTCTGAGCTCAACACCTGTGGCTAGTTACTCAAGTCAGGCTAGCAAGGGCCTGATCGATTAGATAACGAACCACGGTAGTCTGTTTCAGGAATCTTTGGATATTGAGACCCTTAATTCCGGTATACTCGAGTATTCCCACTTCTGTTCTGTTCTGCATTCGGGCCCGGTAGGGATATGTTTGGTGGACGAAAATTGGTGTAAAGTTCTATGTACGTTGACGGAGAGTCAACGGGTTCGGATCAAATACTGCAGATGAAAATCTGGTTCCTGAGAGCCATCTGTATCCTTCCTTTTGAGTCACTGTGTCTAAATGCTTTCATTTATATCTGGTATATGTATCTGATTGATTAAACGTGAAAGGCCATGATTTTACCCCTATATGTTTGATGCCTCATTGAGCGTAAACTCACCCCTTTCTGTTGCCTTTGTTTTCCTTACAGGGAACCACTTTTGGGGACTATGATGTTTTGAAGCACGAGTTGGGCTAGTTTTAATATATTTTGTAAAGCTCCTCGATAGTTGGAAAAACCCTAAATGTATTTTGATCCAATTATCTCCCTTTTGTTTTGTAAATTACAAACGTATGTGTATAGCACTGTTTAACCCTGTTTATGTGTCCTATTTGGTTTGGAAATGTTTTTCCGAGTTGTATGATATGTCACCCACTATTCATCGACGGTTTTGATTTTCGTTTGGCTATTTTGCGATTTTGACTTGTTTGAACGCGCTTTTATTCTCTCGGAACGTTTTAGATCGTGTTTAACTGCACCGTTAGTCCTGACGAGAGTTGGGCAGACAGTCCGCTAACCTCTTTGGTTTGCCTTAGGGGAAGGTGGGGCTGTCACAGATTACATTTAACCTACGCTAGCCAATGAGCAAAATGCTGTCAAACGATGTTAATTCCTCCATAGTCTAGCCCGGTGTCCTCAACAATGTTAGTTTTACGAATGGAAATCACACCGCTATAGTTCCTACCTATCATCATGGTAGCTTTTCAGTTGTTTTTATCAGTTTCGTCTTCGATCACCCTACATGTTGACCTATTGATAACTTAGGGATGCAAAGCATGGTATATTTAAACTTGGTAATTTTTGTTTTTTTATGTTAAGATATAAGAGACCTAATTCAATTAATTATGCTCTTGTGTAATTATATTTATTCAAGTAAATTGTGGTAAGACTTAGCTAAACATATAATGGAATTTAGACTTTCTGGATTCAATGACAGATCTATCACCATTATAGATGCATATTTGCGCCATTTGTACATGAATTTCCATATTAGAAAATTATGTGTATTGCATTATATATAGAAACCGAAAATTATGTATGTTAAACTTAAAACTGGGCATTGTTGCGCCAATGCGTGGCAGCCAAAAACTAGTTATCTTATAAATGCAGCTCCCTTGTCTTGCTTCACAATCCACCAATTCTAGTTCCTACTTGTCCAGACAAAAGAAAGGGAGAGCACCAAGAAAGGGAGCTGCATTGCTGAAACCAGTCAATACTACAAAAAAAAAAAGAGCAAATTTACTTTTGTTCAAAGTCTCTAAATTTATTCCACGCTTGTCAAATAAGATCAATATTGTAGACAATCTCAACTAAATTATAGACAATCATCACTTACATTTACTACAAATTCAATGGTTTGTACAGCAAAACAAATTCTTTTACTCAAGAACTTTTTGACTTATGATGCATAATTTTCAAATAAAACATGAAATAATAATTCGTGACATCTTAATATATTATTCCACCATTTTTAAGTTCCTGGAATATAAGAAACTAATCCATTATCTAATATTAAGTCCCATGTGATTCTCTCTTTCGTACCAATTGTCACAATAAAGCTGACTGAGAAGTAGAGATGTTCATCAATCTTTTGCATCCATTATCATCCAAATTCAAGAGAGAAGAAAAGATGCCCTGCCGTGATCATGGAGTGACTGGAAAAAATTAAAACTACTGTGATTCAACACTCAAGAGATCATTTAAAAGTACTGATGCTTTAAAACTTAACCCTGCAACAATCAAGAGATCATTCTTGATCACGTTGTAATGGACGTAGTACTTTCTAGCATGTAACACAAAGAATATTCACTTTTATTTTTTAACTATAAATTTGTGTAGACATGAACTCTATTATCATGAATGTAGAGAAGAAAGGGTGATCAAAGAAAAAATAAAACCATAATTTATCGAGATGGAGTATGACATTTGGATGTTCCGCAACCCAGAGATGCTTATGAAGATCAAAGGTGGTAAGAATTAGTAGTGTTTTGTGCTTTTTTGGAATATATTAAAATCAAAGCTCATTAAATTTTTTCATTCAGATTACTTGAAAATGAATTAATTTGTTAATTAGGTTATTGCAAAGCTTTAGTTAATCCGAGTTCAACCCCTCCAATTAATTAAGAAAAGGGCAAGCTTCAGTTGAGTTCAAGCTCCACAAAATTATGTATCGAGTTTTGGAGAAAGATACCCAGCTCTACTTAAACCCGTTTTTTTTCATAGAAGTATTCATGAATTAATATTGTCTGAGTTTATAAAAGTAATGACATAATGCGCAAAATTTTTGTGTATTTATCTAAGAGCTTCATGTCAATGCATAAATTTGGGGTTTCTACTCTGGTTACGTAATTATAAAATACCAATTTGGAAACATCAAATGTGGGGATTTAATTTATTTTCTTTTTAAAATGGGTTAGACCAAACTCGAGCAATGTCGTAATATTAATGTGGTTTGAGCTTGTGCTTTAATATACTACCCATTAATCCCCTTATAAGAACTAATTCTTGTAGCACCCTCCTCCTAATTTTCACAATGTTTCTTTATTGGTTTTCTCGGACTGGTATCATAAATAAAAAAGAAAGGGGAATGGCTCGCCTATCCCACCGAGCCAAAAATAGATTATGTAAATGAGTTGAAAAAAAAAGAATACAATTTTTTTATTTTAAGTATGACCTGGTCCCAAAATGGATAAAGAAACAAAAAGAATTGGAAAAATGGCCATTTTCGTCCCTAAACTTTTTTGGCCCGTCGATTTAGTCCCCAACTTTTATTTTTGGCCAATTTAATACATGAACTTAATTTTCGGGTCCAATTAAGGCCTTCTACGGCGGCGCCACCACCTAAAAGTAATTTAGCTCCTAATTTAACATTAAACAAGGGCATTTTGGGAACTTCAGGTATGAATTGTAATCAAACTGAGTAAATTAAAAAAAAAATCGACTTTCCTATACCAATCCCCACAATCAAAATTAGAAAAGTGAAGAAACAAACCCCAAAAAAAAAATCGCAATCCTATTAACATTCAATTATAGGTGGCGGCTTTCGTGCCAAAGGAACAGCATCGCAAGCGGTGCCATTTTCTTCGCCGCCGCCGCCTCCAGTTACGCCGCCTCCTGGCAGTTTCCTCTTCGGCTTGGCCTCTTGCAGCATTGATACTACATCCCTCATAGTTGGACGGTCAGCCGGATTTCGACTGGTGCAGATCAATGCAATTCTTAGCACTAGCATCATTTCCTCCCTCACGGAGGCACACAACGCACCAGCATTTTTGTCGAGAGTATCAAGAAAACCATTTTTACTCTTAATCTTAGACCTCACCCAATCTACTATACTATTCCCATCCCCAAATTCTGCATCCACAGATCTTTTCCCGGTCAAGATTTCCAATAACACCACGCCGTAGCTATAAATATCACTCTTCTCATCGACTTGCAGCGTGTAAGCATATTCTGCAAAAAGAAATCGCAGCAACTTCAGAGAGATTCATTGCAAAAAAAAAAAAAAAAAACAAATGAACGCTGAAAATTTGAAAAGGAACAAGCTGGAAAAACATGGTAGCATTTTGGCCTCAACAGCCCAAAGCATTTGACTTTGGATACTTGTCAAGGCATGGAGTACAAATTATCTTGGCCTGAAGTTCCCAAAATGCCCTTGTTTAATGTTAAATTAGGAGCTAAATTATTTTTAGGTGGTGGCGCTGCCGTAGAAGGCCTTAATTGGACCCGAAAATTAAGTTCATGTATTAAATTGGTCAAAAATAAAAGTTAGGGACTAAATCAACGGGCAAAAAAAGTTTAGAGACGAAAATGACCATTTTTCCAAAAGAATTCTATTTAAAACATTAGATCTCCTCTATTATCTCATTATCTCAATTAAGAGGGATCGTTGAAAGGACAGGTTCAAATCACGATCAATTCCTTTTTCAAATCTTGTTGTAATGCTCAAATCCTTCCACATGCCATAAATGACCCACGAGAAGAAGACACCTTAAACTTTAATGAATGTCACACTACAAGTGAGAAGCCAAAGTTCAGTTCTCTATCTCTCTCCCTTTTTACTTTTCCTTTTTCTTTTGTCACTTCAGCAGCTAGGCTAAACTTTTTCTTTTGCCATTTCAGTTTTCTGTTAATTGAACTAAATTGGCACGAAATAAAGTTTAGATATTAGATCGTCTCATTAACCAATTCCAGGTGTAATCATCGACACCAAAACTACTTTAACAAATGGTATCAACCCTAGTTGGTGATACAACATTGTTGTTGTTGGACCCATTCCATTCTCTTTTGTTTGAGTTATTGAGATCTAAGCTTTGAAAACAAAATTGAAAGGAATATAAAATCTTAGAAAGCAGTGATACTAATAATAAGAGTTTCGAAAACAGTGTTAGCACTCATTATGAGTGTTTTTTTTTTTGCCAATAATTAATTAACAGAAAATATCTAATGTATGAATACAATGAATATAAGTCTGTGCATTTACATGACAAGTTATATGTAATTTAAATATATTGACAAATGCTCACTAGTCACCATTAGAAATTATTATTACCATTGTTTTTGTCATTATTATTAGGAACCCTCCTGAATTTTAATATGTGAATTTGCCAGTCACCAAATTGCAAGGACTCCAACCAGCAAGGGAAGGTGGTCGCTGGATGAATTTTGAAGCGTCTAAAATAAAAAGGTACACAAGGGGCAGTATGACGCGATTAGAAGAAAGATCAAATTAAACAGTTTCTTTCTCTTTTCTTTCAAATCATTTCCTGATGCGTCTATTTGAAGTCATATGCACCTAAATATACAGGAAGAACTTACCGGAGAGAAAAGGAATAAATTTTATTCGGCATAAGCAAAAGTTAGAAGGATGTTGGCATCAAAAATAATATAATACATGATATTAATTAAACTTTCATTGTTTGAAAAAAGTCCAAATTACATTGCACAAATGTTGTAAACCAACCTTATACATTTTCCATTGCAATTGGTCAACTATATATTATTTAATTTTTTTTAACATTGTTTTATTGGTTTTATAGTTTCTTCCATTTCTTTACATCTTTTGCTCAAACCACCACCAGAGGATGGAAAAGTGTATATTTTTAAATTTAGCGTTTATCCCCAAAGTTGGGAAGTGTTTGATCTTTGCCTCTTCAACCGCTGTGTTTGGGATGCCATTTTTTTTCAAAAAAATTTTATATTTTTTATGAATACATTTTTCAATTATTTTTTTACCTCACATATATCAAATTATTATAGTATATGTTTCTACAAAAATTCCAAAAATTAGCCGTCCAAATGGGTCCAATTTTCTTAACTTATGCGGCTTTATGGCGTCTTTCTTGATAATCCACCAAAGCTTCTTTACCTGACCAGAGGCCCCAATCAAATGAAAGGGCGAGAACTGGAAAAGCGAATGTACCAATCATTCTGGTAATAAAATTGCAAGCAGTCAATTCAAAAAAAAAAAAAAAAGAGCAAATGTGCTTTTATTCTGTCGGTTGTCTCTAAATTTCAATGCACACTTAGTAAAGACGTCAATACTGCAGTCTATCCTCAATTAGTTTAGAGAAAATGATCACAAAAATTTAATCTTTGTACACCCAAATAATCTTTTTGTCACTTTGAGAAATTTCAACTTATGTCGCACAATATTCAAATGAGTAACATTCTTCATGGATGGGACATTAATTCATTATCTAAAACTAAATCATATGTGATTTCCTCAATCGGTACCATTTTCACAAGAAAGCTCACTAACAAGTAGGCAAACGATAATTAAGATAATAAGAACTGTTCTGATTATGTTGGAATAATTCATCATCTTGGATGTTCACCAATCCTTTCATCCATAAACATCAAGAACACTAAAAAGACAAAAAGAAAAAGAGAAAGATATAAAGAAGATGCCCTGCCCTGATTACGTAGGGACCAGACAAAATTAAAAGCACTAGTGTACTTCAACATTAATTCGTCATCATTGCCCATTGCAGAGTACTTTTTGTGTTTGGAAGACTCTTTTTATCAGTAAAATCTAATGCCAAAACTTAACCCTGCAACACTCAAGAGATCATTCCTAACAGTGTCACAGGAGCTGGAAGTACTTTTGATACCAGCATGTAACACACTGAATGCCCGCTTTTTTTAGATATAAATTAGTCTAAAACTTGAGCCTCGATTATCACAAGCAAATTAAGACCAAAGAGAAGAAAAATATAATTTTTTGAGATGAAGGGCAACACGCATAGTGGGATGGTAGCCAGCATGCGTGGTGCGATGGACGACAGCATGATCGGTGTGCGCGACTTGAAATTTCTTGAGAAGATGAAACAAGGTAAGAATTTTTTTTTTTTGGGTGCTTTGTCAGAGGATTATAAATGAAAGCTTCATAGATTTATTCATTCCGCTTACCCGTCAAAGTCTTGATTGCTAATTAGGCGACTGTAAATTTTCGTTTTGAGTTTATACCATATCCGATCATAACCTTGTGCTCTTATATTTTTTTCAGACTTTGGAGTGAGAAATGGAACAGGAACCCTATTGGCCAATCCTATTTAGGACCCATTTGAGGTTGCATAACTTATTGAAAAGTAATTCTCTAATAGGGTTTTTAATTAAAATACTTATTAACTACTTAAGTGCTTTTAAATATATTATTTAGAGATATAATTCAATAAGTACATATTGTATTGGATAATATATAATTTAAAATTTTTTAAAAGTGTTTATCTCTTTATTTGGTTCATAATATAAGATAAAATGATTACATTGGATGTTTTATTTTTGAAATCACAAAAGGTATTTTAAAAGTACCAAATTTGAGTTTTTGCTAAAAATGTTTTTAATACCAAAAGCTCTATTCCTAATTTTATGGGATGATATTCACCAAACATTTTAAAAGTACTTTTAACACATAAAACTGTTTTTTTTCACCAAAAACACCGCAACCCCAAACGAGACCTTAATTGAGTTCAAACTCCACAAAACTTCTGAAGAAAGATAGGCTCAGCCCTACTTTTTAGGCCGGAATACAAATTATTTTAGGTATTAGCGTTCGCAAGTTAATCTTGCATAAGATATTATTATAATGAGTAATGAATTAGTACACAGAAATTTGTGCATCTTTCTAGCAGTTTCATGTCAATGCATAAAATTTAAAACTTATATCCGAGTTCTAACTCCTTCGTGAGATGGTACTGTACTCTAACGCCACATGACATATATTTGGATTACTTTTGTGTGACAAAAGATATATGTCCTAACTCACAACTATAGGGTAATTACTTTGAGCACAATTTTATAAATACCAATAATTTTGTCTCATTCCCTATTTTGAGTTTTATTTCAATTATTTTTTCTTTTTATTCTTGGTATTCCTTGGGTGGAGATGAACAATTATTGCCTTTGTTTTCTTTATCGTTCTTCTAATTTGACAACTATTTGTTAACTCAAAAAAATAAATATACATTATTTCCTAAATTTGGTTGTATCTTTCTTGCGTTGCATGTTGGTAATTTTGACTTAGCATAAACTAGTAGCTTCCTAGGAGAGGACAATATGCTTGGCTGTTATTCCTTATGAAACGAATTCCATAGGGTGCAAGCAGACTTTTGGAAATTTTGAGGATGGACAATTGGCCAACGTACCATGCTTGACCGAAGCTTGGCCTTTTTTTTCCCCCTCTTTTCTTTTTTGCTTTTTAGCTCAGCCTATTCTTGCATATTGGTAGGTAAAAAGCAATTCAAGGAATTGGAGGATCAACAAATTGCTAAAGCTGTTACAACCAAGCTCCCAGAACTCTACAGAGCAGCAATGGAAGGAAATTGGAAAGACGCTTGTAGCGAATTTCGTTCCAATCAAAATGCAGAGACAGCAAAAATCTCCAACCTTGGCATGACAGCCCTTCATGTGGCAGCTAGCTGTGGCCAGTCGGAGTTTGTGCAGAAGCTTGTGGGGAGGTTATCTGAGAAGGAGGTTGAAGCCAGAGACCAACTCGGCCGAACTGCTCTTCATCACGTGGCCTTAGCTGCAGGTGTGGACGCTGCCAAAGCAATGGTGAACAAGAACCCAAATTTGCCTTACCTTGGGGATGTGAACAAACATACTCCCCTCTTCTATGCTGCTAAATGGCGAAAACCGTCAGAAAGCAAGAATATGGTGGAATATCTCTACGGAGTTAGTCGGGAAGAGAATTTGCCTCGTGACCTTGAGAGTGAGAGAAGAGATGTTTGCAATGCCTTCACGGATAATTCAGGCCCCGATCTCATTGTGGCAATCACTGCTTCGGGGTCATATGGTGAGCCTGGCCACCGTACAGATAAGCTCTATACATATATGTGTGGCAATCTTATGAAGTTATTGTGCAAAATTTCTGATTCATAATAATATTTTTTTGAAAAAAAAATCCTTCAATTTTTAATTAGAGGAGAAAATAAAGGTTAATTTCCAGGACATGGGGTGGTGGCGCTCCCTGCCCCAATTTCCATCCTTGCCTCTAAGATAACAAAAACTCTTTGAAAAAGCTCAATTGCATCTATAAAATTCTTTTCAACCAAAGAATCTAAAATGATCATAGATTTCTTTTACAGATACTGCATTGCGTATCCTTAAGAGATATCCGAAGTTAACTCTTAAAAAAAATGACAAAGGAACGTCCATACTTCATGTACTTGCAATGAAGTCTAAAGCATTTCTGAGTGGAAATAAACTTTCTCCATTGATATCCTGGATGTATGATTGTAAGTACTCATTTTCGAATCTTCACCCTTAGAATTTCTGGTTCGCTTAAGGTATATTCCACATATGATATTTCATTTTGCTTGGACAATGTGTCTATATATACAAGATACATATACATTTATATATTTACACACACTCTTAATTATATGCTTTCATAAGTAAAATTTGCGACGTAAAAGTTATTTCTTTCATTTCCAACTCATTACTGTAGTATAGGATTTCTATCTTTTTTGTAAAAAAAAAAAGTACATTGATATGCGATAGGTAGTTCTTCAGTTTATTAGTTCCAATTTTTGTGATTTTATTCTAATTCTCCGTTAATCTTTAGTGGTACCAGTTGACGACGAGGAAACAAAACACGAAGATTCGACAAGTGATGGTGCTAACAGCAAGAATCGATGCTCAGCAGCTTCATTCTTTAAATTTATGAGCAAGTTCATTAAAGGTTTGGAAATTTTGTGTCTGCTTTATCTCCGTTTATTAATCTAATTTGACGTTGGGGGAAATGAAACAATAACGAATATTAGTTCATTATACTCCTAATTTGGGTGGTTAAAAATGTTTCTTTAGGATTAATTACATCTACATCCTGTGAGGTTTAACAAAATTATGAAATCTATCCTATGACAAAACATTTACCAAATGCCCCCCTCAATTACCGTTAAAAATAATGCTTGGATCAGTACAAATGCAAATCTGAAAGCCCCAAAATACTCTTTTATAAATTGAGTTAATTACAATTACCTTCCTTAAGGTCTATCCAAATTATGTTTACCTCCCCTAATATTTGTCCAATGGAAAAAATGAACCTCATAATTTATCCAAATTAGTTCAAAACTTTAAAATGAATAACTTCTATTAAATAAGAGTACATCTTTTCTACATTGTTAGTGTAAACTTGTTTTACACTAGTGATCCATGATATTGTGCCACCTCAGCAATAGAAGTTGGTAATCCCTTATAATCAGTTGACTATCTTATCAAAATTATTTAATTGAATAAAATAATCCTTAAACAAAAAATAGAATTTCATGATATCTCAAACAATTTCTTCTCCTCCTTCACTTTTTTGTCTCAACCATCTCACTACCACTACTTTTTTTGCCCTTCCCAGACACCCAATAGGCTTGAAGCAATGTCCTTTTGCAATCAAAATATGCCCAATAAAACCTCCCATTAAGTTTGGACTAAATTGGAGTTTTGAATTGGATGTAAAGAAAGAAAATTTTCCTTTATGTCAACATGGATTTGAGGTTTGGATTGGAAAATGTGATTTTGTTTTCAAGTTATGTAAAATATATTCCAAAGAATTTGGGTGTAAAGAAACCTAATAGGTGGATCTAAAAAATCAAAATTGAAATGCTAAGGTTCCTGAAATTCTTCCCAACCTTTTTTTTAAGTGAGAGGTCTTGAATTCAGGACCTTCTACTTAGAATCCCTTTCATTTTACCACGTAACCCAACCCTCCTCCCAATTCTTCCCAACTTAATATATAACAATCCATCGATGTAAAGAAATTTGATAGGTCTGCCAATCAGGGTCAATAGACATCCATCTATGTCAATAGCCATTTCTGATTCCTTTAGGAGAGTTAACCTGCCCCCTATTTTTATGAAATTTGGAGGAGATTAGGATATTGTAATTAGATGTGAAAAAAGAAAAAATTTGGTGATTATGTAGTGTTCAAATTGGTAGAAATGATTTGGTTACCAAGCAAGAAGAAAAGAACAAGAAGGATAGAGAGAGTTAGAGGTCTTTCTTGAAGAAAGCTTCATCAATCACCTACACCATTGATTAGAGAGTTCCAGATGATATTAAATTGAAAGTTAATTAGCTTATTGTTTTATTTAATATCAATCTCCACTTTTTGTTTAATAGAAATGGATAAAACAGGTTATCCACTCTCATTCATGAGGTGGTACAATATTAGTGAGCCATCAGTGTAAAAACGTCTTACATTGACGGTGTAAGAAAAATTTGCTCAATCTTTTTTTTCCAACATTCTTTTGTCTCTCTATAGATTGCAATTAATTTAATGAAAATTCTAATCATATGGCATCAGAAACAATACTTTTTTGCTCTTCGGTGTAGTTTCTTTAGTCATCACTGTTAGATTTTTACATAAAAGCCCTTTTCCATGTTATTGTGCAAATAATCAAACTCTAGTTTTGAAAAGAGAGAATCAACTATTGCTTTTAAATCCACATTTTTACATAAATGCCCTTTTCCATGTCATTGTGCAAATAATCAAACTCTAGTTTTTGAAAAGAAAGAATTAGTTAAATTTAAATCCACATTTAAGCATTAAATTTTAAGGTTTCTATACAAAGCCAATCATTTAAATCTACATTAAAGGTCTAACAAAGACACTTATCTAGAATTATATTGAATATTATGTTATGGATAGAAAATCATATAACATAGCTAAATTTTATTATCATGCACCAAATTATCATTTCCCAGCCTTTTTTGGCCAAATTCTGCAGTAGAATAGCAGACTACACAAAATCAGCATCTCAAATGATTTTTGGTGAAATTCTACCACCGGTGGCAGAAGCCGCCATACCACTGTTATCGCTAGCATCATTCCACTCGAAGCTTTATTGGAAAATAAAGGAAAGTGGAAACAGATAAAATAAATGAAATAGAAATGCAGAGAAAGGAAGAAGAAAAAGAAATTAAAGAATAAAAAGCAAGAAGTGAAAAAAAAAAGAGAAACAGAAAAGGAACGGCGGCAATGCGGTGGTTGTAACTGGCTGCGAGAAACGGGAGATTTACTCGATTTTAACACCATTTTTAAACTTTAACTTCATGCGCTGAATCCTCAAGCCTGTAATTTTTTTTTGAATATTCTCGATTATTTTACAGTTAATGAACACTTAGTTCAATGAAGCCGAACACTCCTAGATCAAATCTCATGTTTTGATGAGGTATATCACAAAAAATTAAGCACTGGACCATTATTCTTAAAATATTTTTCCGAATAATCTTCAATATAAATGTAAAACTTGTGCGTGCTTACGTTACTTGTCTTTTCTATTTGTCTCAGGAATAAGAGAGATGTCAGAAGTAAAGCAAAGCCACGTGCTTGCGGTTAGACTTGTAAAGTTTGTATGTGATGAGTTACATAAGAAAGAAAAAGAGGAAGAGGAAGAGAAAAAGAAAGAGAAAGAGAAAGAAGAGAAAGAGAAAGAGCGGGAGAAAGAGAAGGAGCAAGAGAAAGAGCCAGAGAAGGAGCAAGTGGAAGAGCCAGAGAAAGAGCCAGAGAAAGAGATAGCGAAAGAGCCAGAGAAAGAGAAAGGGAAAGAGAAAGAGAAGGAGAAAGAAATGGACTTTCTTCTGCATTTCGTCATCCCTGAGGAAGAGCGAGAGAAAGGGAAAGAGGAAGAGAAAGAAATGGACTTTGTTCAGGATTTCTTCATCCCTGAGAATAGCACTGCAATCTTGCACTTAGCGGTGGAGCATGGAGTATTTGAGCTTGTAGAAAAGTGTCTAAAAGCTTTTCCTGATCTAATTTGGTATGCAGACAAAGCCCCCAGAAGTGTGCCGTGGCGTCATGCTCATTATACGAGCACAGTCAAAGGAAGTTTGGTGTGGAATGATGCCACTCAACATGCAGACACAGCCACCGCAAGTTCGAATCCGCCTGAATATACAGACACAACCTCTGGACATTGGAAGTGGCATGAGGGTCAATATGCAGACACAGCCACCGGCACCGGACGTTTGTTGTTGCATGTAGCTATTGAGCATCGCCGAGTGAAGATATTTAATCACTTGATCGATTACATTGGAAAAAATACTAAGGCGTATGCCGATTTAAAACTTGAAGGGAATAACAATTCTCTTCATTTGGCTGCAAATTTGGCTCCTACACCTCAACTCCAGTCTGTCCCAGGTCCTGCATTTCAGATGCAGCGAGAATTACAATGGTTTAAGGTAAGTAATGCAAATTTTTTTTTTTGTAATTCTATCTCAAAACCGTTTGTCAAATACTCTTTACTTTCCATATAAGATGCATGTGTACGTAGATATACCCCTTTAACTTTTAGGCACCCGTCACATTTCTAAACAGTTTTAGATTTTTTTTTTGGGTCACGCTTTTAGTAATACACCTATTTTGGTCCATGTTTTAGAAGGATACATGTCTCGATGAATTTGAAATAATAGGACAAGTAGTGTTTCCTCAAAATAAAATGTGGCATCAAAAAGCATGATAGCTGACCCAAAACTTTATGTTAATTAACATCATAGTCATAATTTTTGCATTCTGGTTTATGATGGTACACTACAACAAAAATGCCCTTTAGCGGCATTTAAAGGTGTCAGTATAGATAATTTAAGCTGACATTTTACTTTTCCTTACACCTGGGACGAGTGTTGTCCCTTCCAATGTGGGGATAGCCTCGTAGCATTAAAATGTGTCAGGAAAACTATGTTGTTATAGCATCTCATCTACCAACAAAAATATTTTTCTTGATAATTGAAAGTGTCAAGATAGCTATTCTACCACATTAGAATATTGCTTTAGAAGCTACGCTATGCTAACACTTTTAATTGCTAGGAATACATAGGTAAAGAGAAATTAATCACACCATATAATAACACCGAGATCCAATGTAGAACAACAAATAATCCTTCACTTCATTCATGCCACAATTATGTCAGATATACAAGTCTTTGAACTTTCCATTGAAACTCTAAGTTCTTTCAGAAGAAAAGAAACTATACTAATCTACTAACTTCGCTATAGATGCCATTCCGTACCTATAAAAAAATCAAACAACTAAAAGGAGGACCGCCATTGCCTGAATTCAATGACATAACAATTCAAAAAAAAAGGAAAAAAAAGTTGATATTTAACTCCATGGGTCATCCCATCCCTTGGGGCCCTCTCTTTTGACAAAGTTTAACATTGCCTGGACAGCTTCCTGAACTCTGTTGGATAGGGCATGGTTTCCCCATTCAATTTCAACCTTTCTACACCACCCATTGCTCTGCACAGATTCAGGAGCTTCAAGTGAACAGAAATTTTTTTCTTCCCAAAGATGGTTTTGCATTGACACCTTACCAATCAACTCTTCACCAAGGCATAACCTAGCATCGGACATGACAGAAGAATCACGGTAAGGGCTTCCAGAGAATACCCACCTTCTAATCTTCTTGATGAATTCCACAATCGGGCCATGTGCATTGTATCAGCATGGAAACCAGCAAGTTTAAGTCCATAATTCCCTATAACATGGTTATCAAAGCTATAGTTGTGCCACACCTACAGAAAAACAAGCCAGTGCAGTTCCCCACATGGCATATAATCATTCGAAGAACTGATGAGCAACAAAGAGCCCCACACAGAATTACATACAAAAAATCTTTACCTTTTTAATTGACGGGTCTTCAAAAAAAGGAGCAAATTCAGCCAAAAGATTCCTCCCGTCCTCATCAAGAAGATCTACCCAGATACAAGACTTGCCATTTCCAAAATTCGCTTCCGGTCCACAATAAATACTGCAGCATACAATTTCTCCATGATCAACTGGTGTTTCCTGCTTAACATCAATCTTTGATACCTAGACATTAGCAGAAACCAGTAAAATGAGCTCCCAAAAAAAAATTGAATGCTACTGGAGAGAGCATGAATATTAAGCGAATAAGATAATTAAAGTACAGGATTCAACTGGTTGTATGCAAATGTAAAATAGTCTAAAAGCAAGTCAAATGAAAAACATACTTCCGTGTCACATGCATGGACCATATGCCTGTATTGATTTGTGAGCATACCAACCACTTCCTTTGCAGCAGAGACAGTATCAACCACAAGAACCTTGTCATAAATGCAACCAAGCCTCTCACGAAGATTTGACTGGATAATAGCTTCTGGTTCCACAGATCCTTTTCCTGTGGGGGTTCCATTTATTTTGTCAACACCAACAGACTTTTCAGCAGCAGCCTCCCTTTTTGTTACATTATGAGCACTGCCTTTATCAATTGAGGGATACTTTTCTTTCTGTTCTTCGAATAATTTTGGCAGGGAAATTTTAGGTTGGGAAGACTTTGGAGGTAACTGCATTGTCCTCGGAGAGATTTTCCAGTGTATATCTGCTTGTTGGCTATTTGATGTATAAGACTGTCTGCTACTTGAAAAGTTGTCCTTCATCTCACGATCTGGTGCAATTGTATTCACACTTACGATATTCGGTAGGCTAAGGTTTCCTGAAGAACAAGCTGAATCATGAACATTTCTGAACGAGAGAGGTGAATTACTAGTAGATGGACAAGATAAGTCATTATCAGTGCTTTGTTGTCTAAATTTGTGATCACTTCCATCTGTCAAACTAGGCAAACTAGAAGTCCGTTCAGCATGATAAGCTTCCTTTCTTCTCTTATAGTATTGAGTCACGTCACCCCAGGATTTGTAAGTAGGCCTCTGATAGTCATGCACAAACACATGACTCCTACTTGATATCTTCACAACGGAATGATCAGAAGCAGGGCCATTTGAGACATTTGAGAAGGATACGTAGCCAGAATGGGTTTTGCAATATTCTGGCCTGAGAGTCACGGTGTCATGAAAGTCCAAAGCCAACAAAATACTCAAATAAAATAAATGAAAATACATTATTTTGTCACACAAATACTCACGGTGGTAGTTTTTCTACAAAATTAATTCCCTAGTTTTAGCAAATGAAGTGCATCAACCTAGACAAGTCCTTTGATTAACTGCATGCAGGCTGTGGAAGAATTAGTTTATGATGAGTTAAAGACGGAAAAGAACTTAGACGACAAAACACCTCGAGAATTATTCTTCAATGAGCACAAAGATTTGCTAAAGGATGCAAAGGAATGGATGAAGGATACATCAAACTCGTGCATGGTGGTAGCTACTCTGGTAGCAACAGTTGCATTTGCTGCTATGATCACCGTACCGGGTGGCAATAATAGTAACACGGGCCTCCCTATTCTGGCCACGAAAAAACTTTTCGTAGCATTTTCCGTATCAAACGCATTGTCCATGGTATCCTCCGCTGTTTCTCTGCTCATGTTCCTCTCAATTCAAACATCTAGATATACAGAAGGGGATTTTCTGGATTCACTTCCCAAGAAATTGCTTCGAGGTCTACTTTCCTTGTTCATTGCTATAGCCACAATGATGATATCTTTCGGTACAGCAATTGGATTGTCACTTCAGACGAGGCTCAACTGGAGTTACATTCCCATCACAATCATTGCTTGTGTCCCTGTTATCATTTTCACCTGGTTGCAGCTTCCTTTGCTTTTGCAAGCGATCATAGTCGAATCTGGACCTGGCATTTTTCAGGGACAAAGGGATCGCAAGCTTTGGTGCATCAAGAAAATTGGCGGCCATCTTTTGGCATATGACAGGGTTTGACCTCATTCCACAATTTGCTGCTAATTAGTTCACCATTAGATGGCTTTCCCAAGAGTTGTCTGCATGATTACATTGTATTTCTTTTATTCTTTAAATTTTAGTTTTTGCGAGTTTCTTGTCTACGTTCATATGTCTTGTAATAAAATACCTACGATTGGTATTCACTCCCCATAAAATATTCAATAGAGTGTGCACACTATATATATATATAGGAGGTATCAAATTATTTCTTTGTTAATTTTGTCTTTTATAATTGTAAATGGTGTGTACTGCATAGCATACGGGACAGTTGTGGTGGTCTATCAATCTTCACTAGCAGTTGTGGAGTCTATCCTTTATCAATCTTCAGTAGCAGCTTCTCGGACATGAATTGTGCAAAATGTTAAACAAGATGTTCAGTAAAAGAGGATGCATGGGGTCATAGTTAACACTGAAAGATGGAAACTATCTTTCATATATACCACACTTGTTAGATATGCAAGAAGTTCAATTTGCAGGTCTGAAGAAAATTATTTGGCACGAAATTAGGAATATTCAATTTGGGAAAAGAAATTTTTTTTTTCTGATCGTAATTTGGTGGAAGTATTTACCATGTAAATCCCACGACTTTGGTGGAAGTATTTACCAAGTGGATGACACAAATAGTCAAATAACAGCCTTCTTCTAAGTAGGATATTTCAGTTCCACTTGGTAGAATGCTTGATCATGCTCAAATTGTTCTGTACCACAGAGTGATCTATGACCTGCAAATCATATAAAGAAAGCCATCAGGACAAACAAACGAAATTGCGTGACAGGAAATTTCCTCTGAAATTCATGTAATGAATTGTGTACAAATATCCAATCTAAGAAATTTTAAAACGTAGCAAAAAAAAAAGAAGTTGGAATATATCATATCTCACAACTAAAACCCGCAACCTAAAGCATGTTATGACAAATAAATTTTGTAAGGGAAAAGAAGAAGAAGTAACGGTTAATAAAATGATGTGAAAGTAATTGTTTGGAAGAAGAAGCATCAGAATATTTCCCTTGTTGGGAGAATCATCCGTCCGACGTAATGGCAGATACACGATTGCCAAAATTCAGCCCATCACGAGCAGCCTTGCACTGTCAAACCAAAATAAGGACTTAACAGTCATTTCAACAGTACTCTATGAAGCTTGCACTTAAAGATGAAAATGTACCGTACGAGATACAGTGTATAATGACAAAAAAACCCTCAAATCATATTATCAAAATTCAAAATTTGAGTTTGGCAGAACTCGTTCTTATATGATATAATAAAAATAAGGATGTTATACAACTTCTTCAATTAACAAGTGTCAATTAAATTAGCTAATGTACTAAAAGTGTAACAGGAAAAGTTGTAACGCAAAAGATTCTTTGCTTGGGTGTAATTATGAAATAATTGATAGACAATAAAATATTAAAATAAATGGGAAGAAAGAGGAGGATGAAAAGTTATGGGAAATCAAGGGTATGAAAGACTGTTGAATAATTTGAAAAATGTTACATCAACATATCAAAGTAGAAATGAGAAGAAAAAAAAAACAAAGAAATAGGCAGGTTCTTGGCTAACTTGGCAAGAAGTCTGGGCTGATGAACTGCCAGAGTATGGAAGAGGAGAAGAATGGTGGAACCGCGATGTTAAAGCAATATTTTAATTTTAAGTTCTAACAACTTATATTAATAATTAGTCTAATCTAAGTAACTGCTATATATGTATCATAAAAGTAATCTAACGGCTGGGACATGAAAAATAAAAGGGAAAAGAATATGTAACTGTCCCCCAATTGCATATTGCATATTTGTCCCCCCAAATGTCCCTCAATTGCTTATTGCATATCCAATTAGGGGCTTCACAAGTTTCAGTTCAAATCAGTTTGCCCCTCAGTTGTAAATAAGTAGATGTATGGTGTAAATGAATCTAGATAAAGTATAAACAAATAGGATTGTGATGTAAATAAAATGGGCATTTGGCCTCAACTGATTTAAATGAGAATTTGCGAGGCAGTAATCCATTGGATATATCTGCTTCAAATGTGTCCGATCTTAAATGCGGCTCCCCACGTCTTGCTTGATAATCCACCGCTTCTTACCTACACAACACAAGAAAGGGTGAGCACTTAGAAATTAATGAATGTATCAATCCTTCACATGCACTCAAGGAAGCTAGTAGTACACTGCTGGTTATAAAGTTGCATTGCCGAAATCGGCCGATCCTACAAAAGAGCAAATACACTTTTGCTCTATTTCTCTAAAGTTTATTCCACGCTTACCAACTAAGTTTGATATTGGAGACAATCCTCAACTAAATTAGAGACTATCACCAACCAAATTAAAAAAAAAATTGATCTTTGTACACTGATTTTTTTTTTTTTGCTCGAAAACTTGTCAGGAAACGTCGAATAATTTTTAAACAAAACTTGAAATAATAATTCTTCTTTTACATTTATTCCATTTTTAAGTTCTAATATACATATATATAAGAGATTACTTCATTATCTAATACTAAGTCCCAAGTCAGTCTCCCTCTTGTACCAATTGTCACAATAAAGCTCACTTACAAGCAGTGAAAGATAATTGAGCTGATAAGAACGGTTCTCCTCCTGTTACAATAATTCATCTCCTCATGGGTTCAGCAGTCTTTTTCAATCATTAACATCAAAATTCCAAAAAGGGAAAAAAAAATGAGAGAAAAAAGATGTGATGTACTTCAACATTCGTCACCGTCTGAGAGTACTTTTTGTTTTTGGAACTCTCTTACAGTAAAACCTACTGCAAAGCTTTACCCTGCAACACTCAAGAGATCATTCCTTAACCATGTTACAATTGAAGTATTTTCGAGAATGTAGTGCGAGGAATGCCTGCTATTTTTTATCTATAAATAAGTGTAAACATGAACCTTGCTTATTATTGTAGATAAATCTAAGAAAGGCTGATCAAAGAGAGAACGATCAAAAATTTTTGAGATGGAGCACGGCAATGAGACATCAAATGAAGCCATTGAACTGATGAGACGTGGTAAGAATTGATTGTTTTGTGGTTGTTTTGGAATATTTTAAATCCAAGCTTAGTAAATTTATTCATTTAACTTACGTGTCAAAGTTTTAATTCTCAATTTAGGTGATCTGTAAAGTTCCGGTTTGAGTCTGTACCGCTTCAGATCATGAGCTTGTGGTCTTCCCCCTTTTTTTTTTTTCTTACTGACTTGTAGCCCTGGCTCTTTAGACATTGGTGTGAGAAATAGAATAGAAACCTAGGTTTCCCCTTTCTTGAGCTGTAGCTTGGTCGCCAATTATGTCAAATTTTTACTGAAGTTTTAGTTTCCAAAATCTTTTGATGTATTTCACACATATCTCGATTGTATACACTTTCTCAACGCACAATAATATATTATGCCTGTCAGTATGATGAGGGAAAAAAGGGTTTAAATTTCTTGAGGTTGAGTAAATCTGAACTCGACCGGTCCAGCCAATTAAGAAAAGAGGTGAGCTTCAGTTCAGTTCAAACTCCACAAAATTATGCGCCAAGCTTTGAAGAAAGATAGGCTCAGTCTTACTTAAGCCAACCAACAAATAATTTTGGATATTCGTACATTAATATTGTATAGATAATTAAACAATAATGAAACAGTGGGCACAAATTTGTGTATCTTTCCAGGAGTCTCGTGTCAGTGCTAAATTTAGAGTTTCTTATGTTTGCAAAAATGTGTGATGACTATCGAGCTTTATGCATGATCATGTCATACATGCATATGGATTACTTTCACTAACGATCTCAACCCTAGTTTACAATATTGGCATTATATTGTAATACGTTCCTCTCTCTATAATTGGAGTTATTGAGATGTAAGTTTTGGAATGGTACAAATCTTAATTACGAGTTATGTTGTAATATTTAGAAAGGGATTAAGTTTCTTTATACTAAAAGTGTGTGCATTAGTTGGTCCATACCTGCTAATTTGTACAATGTTAAAAGATTAATCTTTTGATAAAAATTAAAAATAACAATATTAATAACAATGACATTAATAATGATAATAATAACATTATTACTAATAATGTCATTGCCTAAAAAACGACGTCATCATCATCATCATTATTACTACTACTATTGTAAGCCTGGCCCCTTCTAAATTGTCTTGAATCTGCCGGTGCAGCCGGGGATTTGAAACGACTCATGGATACGGGGGAAGGGGGTGAGCAAGAGGCTCAAGCTGATTCAGCCAATCACCCAGAACTATACAGAGCTGCAATGAAAGGGAGATGGAAAAAGGCTAAAGTCATCTTTGATCAAGATCCAGATGCAGTGAAAAGAAAAATCTCCAACCTTGGCATGACAGCCCTTCATGTGGCGGCTAGCTGCGGCCGGTCAGGGTTTGTGGAGCAGTTAGTGAAGATTCTATCTCGGGAGCAGCTTGAGGCCATAGATCAACTTGGCCGAACTGCTCTCCATCACGTGGCCTTAGCTGCAGATGTGGACGCTGCCAAAGCAGTGGTGGCTAAGAACCCAAATTTGCCTTACCTTGGGGATGTGAATAGACTTACCCCCCTCTTCTATGCTGCTAAATGGCGACATCCATCACAAAGCAAGAAAATGGTGGAGTATCTCTGCCAAGTAATTACTGAGGACGAAAATGTGCCTGTTCTTCTTGAGGGCAGAGTTTGCAATGCCTTCACGGATGATTCAGCTCCCGACTTAATTGTGGCAATCACTGCTACGGGATCATATGGTGAGCCAGCCCGTACAGATAAGCTCCTTATTATTATTATTTTTTTTACAAGTAAGAGGTATCGAACTCATGGTGTCTCACTTACGTTCATTTCCCTTATACCATTCAACCAATCCCTCCCCTAATTAAGTTCCTTATACATCATTATATATATATATATATATATATGGGGCATGGGTGTTTGAATTTTGAAATTATTGGTTTAGCTACAATTTTATAACATGGCCAGTAAAGCCCATTCCTCAAAAGTCAAAACCTTTAGTGTCACATCTGATCATTGCTGAAGCCAGAGTATTTACTTTGGAGAGGTAATTTCATGTCCATACGCAAGGATTTTGAAATCAACATAAAATTTTAT